AGATATATATCCAGCACGCTTAAAATTGGGCGCAGAAAGCTCAATTAGGATTTAGTGGATAGAGCGTAATATTTCCTTCACAATGGTATCACAATATTGACACTTCGAAGGGAACTGAACAACTTTGTGCGCGTGAGTACTAGCAAATATTTGCTACAAATCACGGAAAAGCACAGCGGTGTGTATGGTATGGTTTATATCCGAGAGAGAGATATCGTTAGATAGATCTCACAGAGCTGAGTCGAACGAGCGTAAACTCGACGGTGTGTGACGTGTTTTGGCGGAGTAAATCCACTTAAACCGGGAGCGCACAAATGATGCGACCGCACGACAGACAACGCATTGAAGCAGACTTATTTTGTGTGCCACAGGAGCATAACTATTGTCCGTTGCATCACCGCAGTTGTCAAAAATTGTTTGTGTAAATACCAGATTGTTTTACGTTGCAGCGACTGAAGAGATTAAAAGAAACGTTAACATCTAGCAGTATTTGTCTTCTCTCTATCCTAGCCATAGACTTCGTTTTAACTGGAATTGGACTTAAGGTTCATATCTACTCGCCACTCAACCATTGCACGGCCGTCCGATTTGATACTTACTGAGCTATGATTTTGTATTATCGCATGCCAAATACAACAATAGTCGCGTCTGGTAATAACGGTAGATTACGACATTTGTTGAGCCCACTAACAACAGTTTTGTAACTTCCAGTTATTCAGTTCAGTTCAGTTCTTGCAACCGTAACCATGCACTTTCGTGCGCCGGTTTCCAAATGGGCAACCGAAAGACATGCGCCGGTTTCGGTTGCTGTCTTTTGGTTGTCCATTTGGATAAAATAGCAGAATGAAGATTAGAATGTTGAGAACAGATTTAAGCGGAAGGTAGCACATTTTCCTAGACTGAAGTTACAAGAATAATGAATAGATGCATGAGCGCCATTCTTTGCGACACCCAGCCATATCGCTCAGTATCCCCCGATGACCATGATCTCTGGGTCCCCAGCCAGGGAGCCTTACGGGACCTATGTGAGCCAGTGTTATGGTTCGGGTTTTCATACCCTCATGTCAGCTATTAAATAAATAATTAGTGCGCAGTCCATATTCCATGAGAGGCCTGTGACCAATTAGGTGTTACCAATTAGTGAGTGGTAAAGTTGTTGGTTCTCGATGGCCTTCGGACATTTTACAACACAATAGGTGATGAGACATACCATCGGTCTGTCGCGTTCGTCAACTGTGCATACATGGAGTGCATCAACTGGAACCTGATCAATTATGCTCTCAGGTACATTTTAGTTGGCTATTATCTGAACTCTAGGCACTGTCATCATCGAGGGGGATGTTGACATCCAGTAACGTTTAATTTACAGTTGAAAGCACATGCTTCTGAACGAAGGGTACTCAAATAGACGACAAAAGAAAACATATAAACAAATGGAACTACCAGTGTATTCATTGGCCGATTCTGTTGTGTATTATTTAACAAAAATGTTCACATGAATTTCGTATAACCATGGCTACCTTAATGAGAACCAAACCCTATTTGAACCGTTTTGTGACGTGACAGCATCTCGTCTCTCTCTCTCAGCGTTTGTTTTTTGCATTCATTGAGTGATGCTTATTGATCCGCTGATCTTTTGCTCCGTTGGCTCCAGTATCCATTGTGGAATGTGGTTGTGATATAATTTTCCACCTTTTTTGATATCTCAGTGACATCACGTTCTATATAACTTCAGAAAACGTGAACGAAGCATTGTTTCGATATGCATATAGAGTCTTCACTTTCGATAGATAAAAAATTACCCATTGCGTTCCGAAATATGTAGATGATGATCTGCTGTGCCAACCCTTTTCCTCGTTTGATTATCTTAGCTTCTTTACTGAGAATATTGGCTGCATTTGGTTATTTTCCTACCAATCGAGTCTAAGTTTAAACCCCCGGGAACGTATTGAAAATGTAGATAGTTTTTCACGCTCTTCATACCCGGCAGACCCTCAAAGATAAATGACAGTCCTTCATCTAGGGTGAACTCTGTCAAGCATCATGGTGTTAACCACAGGTGGCAATCTTTGTGGATTAACTCACATCCACAACTGCATTGGTAAACTGTGGCTCCCATCATTTCAAATCCGAGAGCTCAAATAGTTTAGCGCTTCCCAGTCAGTTATGTTAATCTTCGTACATCAGTGTCTTCACCATCTTACGTTCTTGTTCCCCATTTATTTTTCTTGGCCTAATCGAAGAGGATTTCAATGTACTACGCTGCAGTCTAGTTGTTATTAGCAGCTTTTCTTCAATTTCTGTGAACGCTTTAGTTGTGAAACTTTTAGATTTCGCCACAACTTCCTTTGTCAAATTTACGCAGAGTATTCTCCCAGACCCTAACTATGCATGCAGAGCTGACAATTTGTCGTTTCCCTTCCATACACAGGCTCTGAATTATAACAAATGCCATTTCGTATAAACTTTTATCAGGTATACCCTATGTTGCATGTTTACTCAAAAACAAAGAGGGGAAAAAAAGTTAACTTCGTCTTTACCTTGAACGATACAACATCCCTATACTGATCGTAAAAACTTCCCCCGTTCAATGTGTTCACTGCGACTGCTTCATGAATAATTTTTTAAAAGAAATGTGAGCTTAAGTGCTTGCAAAAATATACACCAAAAAAATTCATCTTTATTTGTTCCGTCCAATAGGGGTGAATTCATAAAATTGCTCTATTAGTGGTTATTAGTGGTTTGTGGTAACAAGCGAATAGAAGATACGTGTACAGTGCGATAGCCTGGTGTTCCCCTTGATTAGGATTATTCTCTGCATCACACAGGAATAGAATCTATCCTGAGGGCAAATTTTTATTATTTGTGATTTTCGCTTTATGAAAATGTCATGTATTTACTAATAAGTATGAAGTATAAGTATAATTATACATCATACGCATGGGGCCACAATATGTGTCAAAAAATTCACCGTACAATAATCTTCATAGGAAGATAAATGTTCCATGATTTGTGTGCGGGCGGAATAATACCAGGGTGCCCAAAACCATGTAAGTACACGTTCTTGGGGAATTCACTACTCAAGTTCTGGTCTAGCCCAACCCTGACCCTGAAGGCAGCGGGGCGGTGAGTGAAAACCATAGTCGATTGCGGTCCGGTTTCCAGTTCATTAAATCATACACTCTTTGGACGGGGTCAAAATCCCGTTCAGCCTCATACACGTCGATACCCAATTGAGCCGTTGGCCACTGATACAACAAGGTAGGTGTCGCTGGGTGTGTTTCGTGCGCCTCATCTTGCTTCGTTTGGTCCGGGGGAGGTTGGTCAATTCTCGTGGATGGACTGACAGTGCTGGTTCATCAACCCCATTATAGTGCCGGATGTTGGATTTTCGTCCTCTAATTTTGGTTGGAATATACCTCCAACACGGGAAGTTAAATGAGTAGAACTCCTTCAGTAGAGGCTGTTTGAGACCTTTCGTCGTTAAGGAGCATTTCTTGACGTGCTAGGAAAGGCTGACGGGTCATAATTCAAGACACCCACCCCGACCAAACTGAGGCTTTCGGATTAGTAATAGATAGTTACGAATCAAATGGAATTGGATTGAATCTCTAAAACCGGTATGCAGTGCTTTTTTTGGTACAATTTGCTTTCAGCCAAGTTATACTCACTTTGGCAAGGCCTTAATTTATATCATTTAGTTGTCGCAGTCTGGTGTCATTGCATATTACGCAATCCGTTTATCATTTGAGTAAGAATTAAACGAATGATCAAGAGTTCATGTCTGACCCCAAGTTTCTGCTGAGTCGAATAAAGAAGTACTTCTAATTTGCCTCACTGGTAAATTCCTTTCCAGAATCATCAACCCCAATGCAATCGTTTCTGACTCAACCAAACGTAACGCCTGAAGGATCGTCAGTTTATCAAGATGATGCTTGTAGAAAAGAAGAAACATGCCCAACTTCAATGAGTTCAAATGCAGCCACCAATCATTCGTTATTTATTCCATCGGGTCATAGCAATGGAAATTCAATGATCGAATCGTACGATGGGGGTGGCGGTTCCACGGGTACCAGTGTCACCGGTGCCGTTGGAGGCCCGGTCTGTTCTGTTGCTGTGGATGACTTTGGATCGTACAGTCTGAGTCGCGTTCCCAATTGTTGCACTGCACCTGGGAGACGTGGTCATCCGACTGGTGTGGCGCGTGATGTATCAGTTCTGAAGTCATTTTTTTTGCCACAGCCAGACGCCCCGTGATGATTGTCCATCAACCTGGTTCCACTTCTCAGGATGATTTCTTGTTTTGCAGGTCATTATGAACGAATGAGAGTTTATCTCTTGCTCGTAAGTATGATTTCCAAATATTTCGCAATTTCTATTTCTTTCATATACACTGAAACGGTCATTTTTAATGCGGCGCCAGTAAATTGCCTCAAAAAGCAACCACCGTTTTTCCTCTTACATATACGAAATGATCAGATATAATCACAAGGAAGCAGAAGTACTTGAGATTCATATTAAGACATGCAAGATGGAGTACAAAATTGTAACCCATTCATCTTTTCATTTTTTATTTTTATTTTACTTCGTTTTATTGAATATACAAAAATACAATTTTCAAGAAGGGGGAAGCGACCAAAGACCTGCCATTCAACACATAATGGGGGATGTGAGGTGGTGGTGGGATTCGAACACATATTCCCGGGGGTGATAATTTGGTGACGTTACCACCGGGTCATCACCGCCCAGTTAACTAAACGGCTTAGAAAACTTGATGATACTGCTGTGATCACATGTGAGAAACAATTGAATAATTGATTTTGTTTGACCGTGGAAACCTCATAGTATGTATCATTCGATTTGTTTATCTGAGTGATTGAGCAAAACAGCTGCCTATCCCGCTGTAATTTTTATCCTTTTATCCTTTCCTTTATTCAGTGTACAAAAATACAATTTTCTGGAAGAGGAGGCGGCCAATAAAAGGATGGCTTTACATTATATAATGAGGCAAGGCAGGCGATGGTAATGAAGTTCGAACACACACTCCCCAGAGTGATAATTTGTCGCCGTTACCACCGGGCTACCACCGTCTCAGTAGACCGATTAGACTCATGGGAGTTCCGTAGATGAATTTAAATAAATTTTCGAGAACTCCCTAATGACCCGTGTTCATCACAACAGATCTACGGATGACCTTTGTTCATCCCTTTCTCAACCACGCTGGATGATGCTCTTGAATCCATTTGGTCAACTGCTGACTGGGACCACCCAGAAGCAGATGGACGGATATACAGACAATTATGACTGACAGTGAAAGCCGATATTTAAATAATGGTCATATAGGATGATAGAATGTGGATTGTATTGACGTTAAGAGTCCCTTTTATAATAGTTCAGTGACAACGTCATTTACATATCAATCTCCTCAGACGGTGTAGCGCTTATTCTTTTGTGACTTGTCTAAAGGTATCCTTCAATGAACTTGTTAGGGTATCTACTCAACAGATGTGTACTTTGAATTTCTTTCAGTTCATGTGAAAATGTTCTCAAGGAACGGAAAAAACTTTCCTGTTCATCCTAGACAACTCATCAAGTTACATTTTTAGTTAATCGATATATATATATATATTTACCACCGGCTTGTAGACAAGCATCGTGCCAACCCAACAACAATAATAACAATAACAATAAAAGGAGACAGGCGGATTGGGATACAGAACAGAGTGAAAAGCGGGTGAGACTGTTAAACACGGGGAGTTTATTATATCGCCCAACTCAATAGTTCTTTCTATAAATGCTTTCCTCCAGAAGTTGATCTCTGCCTCACGAATGAAACACATCAGGAAAGAAAACATATCCGTCTTTTTCGATCTGTGGCATAAATGGTTATCGATTAGTGTACTTCATTGAATTTCACTAACAGATGGAAACTAATCAATGTGGAATGATTCATGGCAAGAATATGATTTACTTAGTTAGGAGGTCTCATTATTCAGCTCATGGGTTTCCAACTTGGTCACAATAGGATCTACTGGTAATGATTCATTTCATGAACGCATTACCGCAAGATTGACTGGACGATACGCATGCCTTTTATGTAAACATTGAATGTTTATTTTGCATCGAAAATCAAGTTTTTTGTGTGATATTTTGACAGCACTGTTTAGCTACCTGTTCCTTTTGGGGTCACGTAAAGACTTAAACGTTTTCCATGGTGGAAAATTGGTAAAAATTGAGAATAAGTTGAGTGAAAAGATCGTTTTTGGTATCGATGTTCGGGGTTTAGACGATTTAGTTTGGAAACGAGCCACGTAGAACCAGCTAACAAAAGTATGCATGGAGAATGATTAGTCTTGTTCAATTTGTGGAGATCAGTTTATACCTATTCTGTCTCAGCCTTGAAGTATTAGACTTTCGAATTTATTCGTTGTGTTTAGTTAATATTCCCGATTCAGTTCAGTTCAGTTCAGTTTTTACAACCATTAACCATGCACATTCGTGCACCGGTTTCAGTTGCTGTGTTTTTGGTGCCCCATTTAGATTAAACAGCAGAATGAATATTAGAATGTTGAAAGCAAACTCAAGTGGAAGATGGAGAACTTATATAGAGTGGTGTTGGGAGAACAATGAGTGGATGCACCAGCGCCACTGTTTGCGACACCCAGCCACATCATCCAGTGTTTCTAACCATCGATGACCATGATCTCGGGGTCCCCAGCAAGGGGGCCTAATGGGACCAATGGGACCCGGGCTCCCGGTGAGGGTTTTCATGCCACGTCTTAGTTTGATCATCCTTCACCTTTTTCCAACCGCTGCTCACCTCGCTCGTGGTGGTAACCTATTTGGTGACTTGCGTAGCACATGTCCCAACCAGCGTAATCCATGAAGGTTGACTAGTTGCTCCAGTGGACGATCTCCATTATCTAAAACTGTACGCCTAATCACAGCATTTGTTGTCCGGTTCCCTTACCAAACTCGTGCAATGCGACGTAGACAGCGGTGTTCGAACACCGACAATCTATTTTTATCCTGTTCCCGTAGTGGCCAAATCTCTGCATTGTAAAGCAGAACCGGATGAACTGCTGCATATACTCGACCCTTCACAGACAGGGGATGTCAAGACGGCGCCACAAATGTCTCAAGTTTGCAGATACCAAACAATCCTTTTGTATGCGCGCCGACACTTCATATGTGATGCGTCCACCAGGTGAAATATAGCTGCCCAGATAACAAAATGTTTCTAATCCCTCAACTACTTCCCCAGTCAGGGCGAGGTTGGGGACTGCACTNACGTTGAATAGAAACATCTTTAATTGTTTTCTAGTATCACCGGCATTCTGGTTCTAGTTGTTAAACTGTGATTTGCTTTTCCTAACGTTATCATTTCTGTTCATTAACATTATTTGGATGCACTTTTAAACCTTCTGGTCTGATTAGTTTCCTATCGTCGTGCTGTCACTCGAGTGAAATCTACTTAGTTTACGGGGAAACATGTCGAGCATTTCGTTCAAAGTTGAACAAGGATGAGCACATTCGATCTTGTCTTCTTAAAATCTACACTGATCCGAGCGGGTTGTAAAAACAGCTGTTTTTTGGGGGGGTGGGGTGGGGTGGAGTGGGGTGGATAATTTTGTTTTATGTCAGTCGAACGTAAAGCACTCCGGTGAGCCGTAGTATCCTTGCTTGATCTGTCTGAACCATGCTGTCCCCTATCGAGATGCGAATCATCCCGGGCTGAGAGATATAAGCA